TTTTCTTTGTTCTGATGTGAACGTTTGTGTTTTGTAAAAGCGTTTGTTTAAATTTCTGTCGCTTCTAGCATGGGGTCTATTTAAGCTTCCATTTTGGTCGTGTTTCAGGTACATAGTTTTGATWATTTTTTCTTCTAACCTTTCCGCAATTTCATATTGGGTGGTAAGAAAATCTTTTATTTGTTGCCACGTTGGGCATTTTTGTCGTTATGAGAGCGATTGCTCCCATAGAAGTAACGACTTTTCTGGTAATGTGGCTTTGCAAATGTTTACCAGAATTGGGTCCCAGCTGTCTGTAGGGATTTTCAGTGTCGATAGAACCGACAATCAATTAGAAACAGTGGATTCAAGTTTGATGAATTCTACACTTGTACCTTTTTTAATTTTTGTCAAGTTCATTAGTGTCGTTACCTGTTTATCGACCAATATTCTTTCGTTTTCATATCTAGCTTTTAGAGCTTTCCAAGCCAAATTAAAATTATGGTCATTAAGAGCGAACTGTTTAACTATTATGCATGCTTGGCCTTTTGTTTTGTATCGGAGGTGATACAATTTTTGCGCTTGTGATAATTTTGGATGGTTGATGTAAACGGCTGTAAACATGTCCCGGAAGGACGGCCATTCTTCATAACCTTCATAAAATGTTTCTGTGTCACAAGCGGGCAACTCGAGTTGGACTTGCCTTCTGACTGTCTTCTTGTAGCAGCTCTATTCTCGGATGAGGAGTAAGTGCAATTGCTTTAATTAGCTTTAATTGATCGGATATCATAGCTTTCGTTTTTTCATATTGGTCCAAGCAGTTTTCGTAAATATCGTAAGCCAATGATTTCAAATTTTGAGGTAGACCTGAATCGTCAGATTCTACTATGCCGTCATGAGGCGCTTGGAGTCGTATCCAAAAATTATTGAGATTTATAATTTTGATTTCTAGTAACGATTCCGAATTTTCGTGAATCGGTGAAGAGGCAAATCTAGTGCAGTATCTTGTTAAACTGTCACCTTGTGAAATAAATTGTAAAAGCTGCTTTSAGCGTGTAGCTCCACGTGAGTTTAGATTTGTGTTGTTATTAACCATTTTTGCAAAATAATATTATTTATTTGTATTTTTCTTTGAAAATATATTTGAATTAATTACTATGAAAAATTGCGTTTTTTATTTATTAAAATGTTTGATGTCCGAATGATTTTTTATTTGGGTAAACCCTACTACTCGGATTTGCATATACATATTATTAATATTTTGTGCAATTGAGAGCTCGTCGAAGAGATCAATATGCTTTGTGTCTAAGTATGCACGAATTGTTTCTTATGCTTTGTTTGTAAGCAATTKAGAGCTCGTTAGAGAGATCAATTCGGTTTTTGTGCAAAATCCTGCTTTTTTTTTGTTTGCCAAAGAACTGGGTAATTGCAAATATGGACTTTAAATATTTATGTGTACTAATGTTTCTGTGTTAATATGTACTTTATATAGTTCTCACAAGTTGTATATGTTTTGTTGAACTTTTTTTTTTGTGAGATTTTTTATAACTGGT